AAAACCCACCAACACAACAATTTTTGATAAAGGAAACAAGGGTAAATTGCTACAATTTGATGAACCTGACCTATACTCATGGAGGTAGTAACTCTAAATACCAACAGAGAGGGAAGGAGTCTTTACATCAAGTATCAATGCTATCCCCTCTGTACACAGGGTAGATAGGGATGGGCAACTTAGACATTGGATACCTAAAATGAGGGGGTGATAAAGGCATGAAGTGACTGGCTTACAAGGTTTCATGATGGAGTTTAGTTAAAAAATATGGGGAAAAGAAAAAGTCCCCACTGAATAGTTTTCATGTTGTCTGGATGGATCTGCTGAAAAGAGATGGGGATAAGATTTGTATGATTCAATAGTGAATAATTGTTATTGTGACTAATTGCGACTGTCACAATTGTAAAGGTAGAAGTTTTGTAACAAAAACAGGGGAGTGGTTAATCTTATAATCTAGAAACAGAGGACCCTAGGACCATCAAGGGAGAATAGTACAAGCAGAATGCAGGGCCTTATCCAGAGAAGCAGTGAAGCCAGAGATGGAAGCAGAGATGGGGTCATGGAGAGGGGGAGCGGCTGAGGACTCAAGATTCATGGGAAGAGAGGGTCTCAGAGTTGGTGGCCAGGAGGCAGACTTGTAGAATGTGCCCTTTGGAGATGGAAATTATTATATATGCCTGAGTTTTTGTTATGCTTTGTTTTTAAAAGCTAAAGTGAATAGAAAGAAATACTGTTAACTGACGGTACATGGAGGGGATTATAATCACTGTAATGAAACAAGGTATATGATTTGTTGATTGTAAAACTGATCTGCCCTGTAAACTTTCACTCAATCCACTATAAAAACCTTAAAAAAAAAATTCAATAAAGACATAGAAAATTTGAAAAACAAAAAAAAGTTGTATTAAATGGTCTTTCTTGTAAGCATGTGGATATTATCCTACAGCCAACAGCACTGTACTTCAAGACAGACCTTGAAATCCTTTTATATTTTTACAATGAATGTGATGCCATTCTTCTTCAAATTCGTTTGGTTACACATTAATACTATTTACAGGACTCTGCTAGGGGTGTTATACTTGATGCACATACAAGGCATGTCTTCTTTCTAAAATTGGAAAAATTCTGAATTTCACAAGTTAGTGGCCCCCAGGTTTCAAACACTGAGGACCTGTATCTTCATGAGGGTGAAAAAGAGGAGAATATAAAACTGACCTCTGGGAACTGCTGCCTAGAGAGGACTCAAGCAGCCAACCACTATCTACAAAGTCCACCCCAATCTTGCTGCACCCCTTTCCCTGTCATCTTCTAAAGGATCTTCAGTATTTGTATGCAGCTCTTCCAGGCTGAGACAGAGCCATATCCTGAGAATTGTCCAGTAACAGCCAAGGCAGAGTGTCATATACAAGGCACACAACAACTTCAAAGGAAAGCAACAGAAACACGACTCTAGAGCTGACGATGTCTCATTCTGTTCATCAAGCAGTAGCACAAATCCCACATTCCATTATGGTTTTAATTGTATATCAATGATTGGGGAAAAACAATTTTCATCATAATTATAATAAACAACAAAAAACCCACAAAAAAACCCACTGTCATTCAGTTGATTCCAAATCATCACAACCGTGTAATAACAGTGGAAAGAAATTGGCAGCAGCAAAACTCATGAAGGTACATTCTTTCACTGTTCACACCACAGTGCTCAGGAGACTGCAGCATACACAGCCAGGCGCTTTGGAGCGTCAACATCCTCTGTTTCCCCTTCCAGGGGTCGCTTTTGACTGGTGGAAGGCTAGAAATAAAGGACAAGGGAACAATGATTAAAAGAAAATCATTGGCTTCTGGAAGATTAATGAATATTCCCAATATGCTTCCAGTTAATTTTGAGTATTTCATGGGGAACTTCAATACAAGAATTACCTTTTGACATAACATTTAAATTCATACCCCACCCCTGCAATCTGGACATGTTTATCCAATGGACATTTCTGTTCCTTGGAGTTTCTGACTATTCAATGATGTATACTGAAAGCAGCATTTTAGCCAGCCTCCTCTTGGTCTTAAATCATGAAGTTTAAAAGAACTGTTAAACATCTCACGGGGAGTCCTGGTGTGGCGCTGTAGGATAAGCACTGGTCTGCAAAGTTGGTTGAACTGTTAGTTCAAACTCACCAGTCATTCCTCTGATTTTTTGTTCAGTTTGTTTATTGTAATTACACAGGTTCGCTATGAGTACCAACTTGACAACACTTAATAAAAACATCACCAACTCTCACAGAGTCCTGTTGTGGTGCTGTAGGATAAGCACAAATGGAGGTTCAAACCCACCAGTTGCTCCTCAGAAACCCTATAAAGGGTCACTATGAGTTGGAATGAACTCCACGGCATGTAACAACAACAAATATCTCTCACTGGAAGCCCCCAGTTTGATTCTTTTGTGGGAATATATAATCATTTCTGTACATGTTTTCCTATTTATAAAACTAGGAGGAGGTGGTGGTCATTCACACAAAGAAGGCCGGACACATTGTCAGGAGGGACCAGTCTCTGGAGAAGGACACCATGCTTGGTAAAGTGGAGGTCAGCAAAAAAGAGAAAATCCTCAATGGGATGGACTGACACAGTAGTAGCAACAGTGGGCTCAAACGTAACAATTGTAAGGATGGTACAGGACCAGGCAGTGTTTCATTCTTCCTTGGGCATAGGGTTGCTATGAAACAGAATCAATTCAACATCATCTAACAACAACTCATAGTTAAGATGTCCTGGTAGTGCAACAAGAAAGCACTCATCTGTGAACCCAAACCATGGCAGTTTGAACCCACCCATCTGGCTCCTTGGGAGAAAGATCTGGTGGTAATCTGCTTCCATAAAGAGTATAGCCTAGCGAACTCAATGGGGCAGTTCTACTCTCACATTGAGTTACTATGATTGAAATTAGCTTAATGGCATCTAACAACTTACACTTATAAATAACATAAGAGGAACACACTTATAATCCATAACTGCTTGCCAAAACTTTAAATTTTTCAACAAACATAAATTTGGGCCCTCTTAATTGACAATTCCTACATTTCTCTCATCACCCGCCCCCCTTTGAAAAAAAACCCAAATCACTGCTAGTGAGTCAATTCCATGTCATAGTGACCCTGTATAAGGTTTCCAGGGCTATTACATCTTTACCAGAGCAGAAAGCCTCATCTTTTTCTCGAGCAGCTGGTGGGTTTGAATTGCCAACCTTATGGTTTTTGAGGAGCAGTTAGTTTGAAATGTTGACCCTGAGGTTCAAACCAACCTTGTGGTCTAGTGCTTATCTGTAGGATAACCCATAGCAGGACTCCAGAGAGATCCTCTAGTACATTATGAAAATGCAGTCCATCTCTTCAAAATCTTCTAAGGGTGCTAGAATAGATCTGTTGAAACAAAGTATCTTCTACAACATTCCTAAGAATGTAACAATTGCTACAAAGGAGCATTTCAAGCTCATCTTAGTTGTGAACTACATCATCTCTTTTATTATACTTTGTTGTTGTTAGCTGCCCTCTTCTTGTTCAGACTGGTGGCAACCTCATTCACAACAGAACCAAAAGCTGCTGGTCCTGCACCATCCCCACAGTTGATTAGGGATAAGATTGTTGTGACCTATAGGGTTTTCACTGGTTGATTTTTGGAGGTAGACCTCCAGGTGTTTCTTCCTAGTCCATCTTAGTCTGGAAATTCCACTGAAACCTGTTGAACATCAAAATATGCAAACCTCCACTACAAGTGGGTAGTCGCTAAGCACAAGGTACTCTGGCTGAAAATTGAACCAGGTCTCCTGCCTGGAAGAACAAAATGCAACCACATACCAGTTGGCCTCAAGTTGACTCTAATTCATGTTGACCCCTTGTGTGTTGGAGTAGAACTGTGCTCTGCAGTAGAACTGTGCTCTGCAGTGCTCTCAATGGTCGATTTTTCCAGAAGTAAATCATCTGACCTTTCTCCTGAGGTGTCTGTGGGTAGTCTGAACTTCTTATCTTTGAGTCAGCAGCCAAGCGCATTAACCATTTGCTCTACGCAAGGATTCTCTCTTTATACGTAATCTATAGTTAACCACGAAATACCTGGGTTGGGATCTGGGTTACAGCTGTTGATTTATTTTCCTCCAAAAGCAGTTCTTGAAACTTTCTCTTCATGCCCTCATCCTGTGAAGAATTTAAAAATATAAGTAAGCTGTGTAAGGGAGAGACAGCTTGGACAACAACAGGACTAGGGCGCCCAGTCCTTAGAAGCAAGGAGGAGGACCAATATGCTGGGTCTACCCATCAAGAAGCATTCCCTTAATGTGGGACCCTATCCAGAGAAGCAGTGACAGCAGAGACAGAGGCACAGATGAGGACATGGAGAGAGAGCAACTGAGGACTCTAGACTCATGGGAAGAGAAAGACTGTGTGTTGGCAGCCAGGAGGTAGGCTTGCAGGATGTGCCCTTTGGTTGTTTAAATTATTATATATTCCTGAGTGTTTTTGTATACATCCCTCAAAAAAAACAAAACAAAACAAAAAAAAAAACAGGGGGAATAGAAGCAAATACTGTTGAATGATGATGTACGGAGAGGACTGTAATCATTGCAATGAAACAAAGAGTGTAAAACTGATGTTCTCCCATGTAAACCATCACTCAATTCACAATAAAAACTCCAAAGACATTGCTTGCCTCTGTATTCCTAGAGCCTGTCTTGTCATCTAAGCATCAGTCAATACTCTTTCACCACTGGTTGAATCAAACCCCATGCCTAAGAGCAGCCAGTGGGTCAGGGAACCACAGCCCTCAGTGCCCTGGGTCCTGAGAATGGGCAGCAATCAGGAGGCCAGGGGTGGGGCTGACTCAGTCCTCACTGGGGCTGGCTCCAAGCAGCTAGCTCCCTAATCCCTCCAGGAGACCCCACCTTCTATCAACAAATGAGGCCAGTTCACCAGACCATCCTGACAAAGCAGGTACCATAAGAGTTACCAGAAGGCCTTCAAGTCTACCATCTCTCAGAGCTCAGGGCCAATGAGGGCAGAGACAAATCCATAGGTCAGGACTTGACAGATGGTTCGGGGTGCAGGAGAGGGAAGTAGGGGAGGGGAACTTTCCCAGGTGTTCACTCACTTCTACAGGGTTCAGGGATTTGGAAGCCTTGGGAGGGAGCCTTGGGAGGTAACTTCACGAAGGCTTGGGGACCAGCCAGAATCCCAGCTGGACCACTCACAAGCAGAACTCAATGCCAGAGCAGTCTAACTCCAAGGCATCCCTCCCCACTCCCTGTCCTTTCTCCCCTCTCACCCTCCAAGTCAAATGCACCAAGGGTGGCAGTCAGGAGCAAATAGGAGCAGAGGCCTCCAACTATATCATTTGCTAGAGGATGAAGAACAAGCTCCTGTCTCTTTGTAGCTAGGCTCCCTTTCCTCAATCACTCTGAGCCATTGCTCATTTTTAAGCTACCAAGCTGGTCAGGGTTCCAGAGCATATTCGCCCACAGCCTTAGGGGCTCACTTCTCAAGCAGTGTCCCTCTCAAAGGCCACCCACCCCTACCTTCCCCTAAAAGCTGCTCCAGCCACAGCCTTCCCAAGAGTACCCTCTTGCCTTCCTGCCTACTCACCTCATTAAGTGAACACATATTTCTTGAATACCTTTAAATGCCAAACACAAACACACACACACAACCTATTGCCACTGAGTCTATAATTACTCACAGCCACCCTATAGGACAGAGCAGACTACCCATAGTGTTCTGAGGCTTGCACACTGCCACATCTTTCTCCTGCAAAGGGAGTGGTGGGTCCAAACCACAAGCCTTTTGGTTAGCAGCTGAGTGCTTGACCACTGTGCCACCAGTGCTCCATAACAGACCAACCAAAACACCCACAGCCACACAGTTGAGTCCAACTCATAGCAACCCTCTCATCGTTTCTGAGACTATAAGTCTCTATAGGAACAGACAGCCTTGTCTTTCTCCTGCAGTATGGCCGTTGGCTTTGATCCACCAAGCTTGTGGTTAGCAACCTAACAGCTAAACCATAGAGCCACCAGGGCTCCTATGATAGGTACAGGGGCCCCCATATCACATGAATTCCATCAATGATGACCTACCTACTCCCATGTCATGCCCATGCCACTCTGGTCTGGGAGACTTAACACTGTGGGAACCTGTGGGTACCTGAAGCCCCACCTCATCCTGGGGAATCCTCCTAGCCTGCATCTCCCTGTCCCACAGGTATCACACTACACTGTCATCACTGAGGCCACGCTCGTCTCCCCGAGCCATAGTACCAATAGTGCTTAGCACACAAACTCCTTAACTGTCTTCTTCTGAAGGAGTGACGATGGATAAACGGCACGAGGCTTACAAGTCCTCGACATGACAGCCATTTAGTGCTGCCCAACAGTACTGACCATTATTCAGGGCTAGTCATCAGTTATCAACAATATTAAATAGTCACATGGTGGTGGTGTCCTGTGGAGTCAATTCCAACTCACAGTGACCCTGCAAAGGGTTTCCAAAGGCTGTAAATCTTTATGGGAGCAGAAAACCTCATCTTTCTCCCACAGAACCGCTGGTAGTTTTGAACTGCTAACCTTGAAGTTAGCAGCTCGACTTGCAAAGATAAATATGGTTCTATAAATATCCTTCCTTTGAGCTGATACCTTTTTGGAAAGTGAGCAGAAACAAACGTTCAACTTCAGACAACGAACTTGAGGCAAAAAATGGGCATGAGGAACACTCTCCAAATGGGATAGTCTCTTAATGATCAAACAGAGATAGAACCCACATCCCCATGGCCCAGTCCACTTCCAGGCCCATAAAACCCCTTTATTTCTTCCCAAACACTAAGTCTTCCCCATATAAAATCAAAATTATCAGTGGGTGACATCTGAAACAGACAATCCAAACCCCTATGCTCAGTGTTTGCTCTACTTTGTGCTGCCAAAGGACAAAAAAGGTTCAAGCGAGACCCCCGTGGCAGGATTGAACTCTACCTTGTCCTCAGTTGCTCGTAACAGTTTTCTTTTATACAAAAACTAGGCTATGGGTGTTTGCCAGATTTGGGCTGAGGCAGATCCCGGGCCTGGGGCCTAACAGCAAACAAGCTCCAGCTCCTCCTCAGGCCCCCTGTGTGGCCCCCTGAGAATAATGTGTCCTAGGACACATTACGAGCCAAGAGATAGGTTTCTCCTTTTCATCAAAATGAAACCCCCACACGCAAAGGCACCCTTTTGTTTCCAAACTCCTTGTCTCCTGGGGCCTGCTGCTGTTGCAAATCTGTGTGGTCTATTAAGTACTAAATCATTTGACAGATTTCTCCAGTGAGGAGTGCTGTTTCCAGGGCAACATCCCAAACACATACGAGCATAGCTGTCACCTTTTTTCTTTCATTCTTTTCTCTTAAGGATTTGTTGTTTCTCAACCTGAGCTGGCTTGCGCAAGACTGTTAGGTACGAATGGTTGGGAGAGAGAAGGGGGACTCCATTCCCGTCCGCCTCACCCCCCCCCCCGTTGCCATCAATTCTGACCCATAGTGACCTTGTAGAACAGAGTAGAACTGCTCCTCCTTAGGGCTTTTTCCAGGCTGTCAATCTTGGAGAGTGGACAGCCTCATCTGTCTCCCCCTAGAGCAGCTAATGGGTCCGAACCACCAGCCTAGCAGTTAACAGCTCAATGCTTAACCTACTGCACTACCAAGGCTACTTGAGAATGGGGACAGCCTTCCCAGAACCCTGAAGGCAGGGTGCTAAGGCTGGATCCACTGAGGAGCTCCTGGACCAATGTGTTCAGAGGAGTAGTCTCTAGGCATTTCCAAGTATCTGCCTAGAAAATTCATAGAAATGAGCATGACCCTGCTAGATGAAACTGCAGCTAACAGAAGGTCAGCCATCCATCAGAATATCTGTCTGATGCTCTAGCTAATTCCAAAACCAAAGATTAGCCCAACAGAGCCACAAAAGACTCCAGGTGACAATGCAAAGAAGATCAACATATAACATACAACCTGACCACAGTTATAATCCCAGTAGGATGAGGGGTAATGCAGACATGAAGGCACCTGCACTAACGGCATGCTTACAAGACTGTGAACAAGAAATGGGACCTTCTATGCCAATCACTGGCACTTGAGAAATAGCAGATTCCCCCCGCCAGGAAGCTGCCCTTCTCCTTGTCCACCCGTTTCCCTGAATGAAGATGAAAGATGGCTAGATCACAGCTCATCCCCACCTGGCGGCAGCTGGGCAGAGAGAAATACAAACTCTTAAAGGAACAGAGCCAAAGTGCATACCCAGGGCAGCCAAATGGAACAAGGGCAGGCCACCAAGTAAATGGATCCATCCAAGCAAGAGGAATGCAAAATTCCCATGGCCATAGAGTCAATTCCAACTCATAGCAACTCTATAGGATTTCTGAGATTGTAAATCTTTATGCAGTGCCCAAGAGTTTGCAGCCCGCTAAGCAAACACACACAAGAGAGCTCTGGTTGACACCAAAAGGTTAGTAATTTGAATCTACACAACAGCACTGTGGGAGAAAGACCTAACGATCTGACACCTTAGATTCCCGGGTTACCACTGAGTCACTCCGACTCATAGCAACCCTCTAAGATAGAGTAGAACTGCCCTACTGGGTTTCCATGGTTGCAAATCTTTACCGAAGCAGACCATCACCTCTTTCTCCCGCAGAGCAGCTGGTGGGTTCAAACCACCGAGCTCTCAACCACTGTAATACCAGGGCTACTTCAGTCAAGATTACAGCATAAAGCCCCATGGGCCAGTTCTACTCTGTCATATGAGGTTGCTATGAATCAAAATTGATTCAATTACACTGAATGATAACAGCAAACACCAACGATGACACAAACGCACACCTATACATACATCACACCCTCAAAGCTCAAACTCAAACATCAAATAGACCCAACAAATCAAACGTTTCCATCTTCTCTTGAGCACACTGCCAGGCGCACAAATCACCCCTTGTGCTTTAGGCTAGTGGGCACTGCCCCACACTCACCTGAAGCCACGGGTGTCTTAAGGCTTCTTCTGTTGTAAAACGTGCCTTGGGGTCCACTACCAACAACTTCTTGACGAGGTCCAGAGCTAAAGCAACAAGATAATTGGGCTAAAGACAGTGCAAAGGAGAAATACATTAAGACAGCAATATGAAAGGACGTCAAAAGCACAGGCCAACATGGGGTGGGGGGAGGATGGGCGTGTCTGAGAATGTCACGGAAGCAAGCAAGGCCCCTAATTCTCACTTCATTTGTCAGTGCATTGGAACTTCACAACCTCTTGGCTCTCTGTTCCCACTCTGTAGCTGGCCTCAAGTGCAAAGAATTAAAGCTGAACTTCCACCCATTTCTAAGATATTCAAACTGCTTAGCAAACTCTCCCTGAGACCCAGAGCCTAGTGATGAGAGTCCCTCAGCTCCCAGAACAGCAGGTTTGTCAGAAATAAAGCTTGACTGCTCAGCAAGAACAACTGGAAGGTGGCTTGTATATTGTAACAATCGCTACCCTGAAATACACCCCTCTGATATTTAATACAATCATCTATGTGACTGTACTTGGTAATACTAAAAGTAGCTAACCACTTTTCTCTTCTAAGAACTATAATGTTTCCATTTAAACTTATAAAACACAAATTATTTCAGCTTTTCTGTGTTTACATAAAGATAGCCTTGTAACTACCAGTTAGTTCATATTGGGTGCTTTATTTAATAGCTATCAGGGTTTTGTGTACATTACAGTTATTGCTAGGTTCCTTCCAGCTGAGCCCATGAGACAGAGTAGACATGCCCCATAGTTTTCTTAGCTGTTACCTTTACAGGTGCTTTCCTGCCAATCCACTGAATGGATTATAACTACCAATCTTTCAGTTGGCAGCCTAGCACTTAAGCACTGCAACACCAGGCTTCCTCGCACGTAACCTTTATGGAAACCTTTAGCAGTAGAGGTTATTGAGACCCTTTTACAAATAAGGAAATGGAGACTCAGAGAGGTTAAGTAACTTGCCCCAGTTCACACTGCTAGGAAGTGGCAGATCCAGGAATTAATAAGCCCAGTTCAGCCTGGCTCTGTAGCTTAGCTCTTAAAATCTTCATCTGCCTCTCAAATGGTGCAAAACTAACAACAGAAAAGGAGAACAGAATTGACAGGAGAAAACATCACTAGACTTGAAAAGAAACTCTCACCAAAGCACACACACACATTTTGGCAAACCAAAAATTCTTAACCCTTCTGTATCCATACCCTTCTCTGAGACCTCTGCCCAGACTTCAGGAATGAAGTTGTATTTTCCACTGGTGATCTGATCCTTCAGTGACACTTGAGTCTTATGCTCAGAGAAAGGTGGATACCCACTAAGGCTTAATATCGGTAGAGAGAAAAAGGAAAATAAATCAAGAGGCATTCTCAGTGGCATTGGGATACACAGATTTCTTTTTCAGCTTCATGAAAAATCATCGTTTTCTTTAGGTCAGTGGTCAAAGATGACTTAAATTAGACACACGCTCTCTACCTGGACACATCTTATTTACCTCCAACCAGGCTCTGAAGCAATGAAACTTTTCTTACCAAATAAAAAGAATAACTCCTAAACTCCAGCAGTCCACAGCACGGTTATACCCAGCAGTCCCTAAGGAAACAAGAACCTCGGGAGCCAAGTAGGTGGGGGTCCCACAAAGTGTTCGCATGAGAGAGGTCTCCCCCAAAATCTTGGACTGTCCGAAATCAGTAATCTAAAATTAAGGAGAAAAGGGAGACATTTTTAAGTGATGGAAATTAACATAGTTTGCCAGCACCAAACCACACGCTGGCTCCATGAGTTTCCAATGTACAGTTCAGACAAGTCATTAATCCAGGACCTACAAGTCCATTGTTGTGTTTTAGGCATTTTGAGTTAATTTTGCTTAATTTTGGTTGCTGAGTCAAGCAACTTCAAAACTTAAGTATTCCAACTTACCTACACTCTCTGTCACTTTAAAAAGGATTAACAACACTTTTGGAAAGACAAAGATGCTCTAGAATTCTGATTAGTTTGCATAAGTTTTCTCAGACCCACAGTGCTCTTCCTTGGCTGCACAGTAGAATACCTGAAAAGCTCAGAACAGCTACTTACACCTGGATCCCTCCTTTGATACTACTACTACTCACAGTGACTCCATGTGGCACAGTAGAACTGTTTCAGAGGCTTTTCTTGGCTGTAATCTTTATAAGAGCAGATTGCCAAGTCTTATTCCTGTGGAGTAGCTGGGTAGGTTCAAACCGCCAACCCTTTTGGTCAGCAGGCAAGAACTTAATGCTTATGCCACAAGTACTCCGAGGGTTTCCACCTTAGCAATTCTGACTTAAGTTGTTTGAAGTGGAGCCTTGTTGTTAAGTACCTTGGACTCACAGCGACCCTGTACAGGGTTTCTGAGGCTGCAAATCTTTACGGAAGCAAAAAGCATCATCTTTCTCCCATGGAACAGTTGGTAGTTTCGAACTGCCAACCTTGAGGTTAGCAGCCCAATTCATAACCACTATGCTACCAGAGCTCCTAGAAGTGGAGCCTGGGTATTTATTATTATTATTATTATTTTATCTTCACAGGAGATTCTACAATGAAGCCCTTCTTAAGTAATACTGTCATATAGCGATATGGGGAATATGGCTCATTCATCCCTCGAGACTCCTCTTCTCCCTTCTCAGAGCACAAGACTGGCAGGTACACAACAGAACACAATAAATGCTCATGAGGATCTGGCCAGGAGCAATCCCACCTGATCTCTAAAAGTAACTGACAAAAATGAGAACCACCTCATTATGCTCTCATTTTTTATCTGATCATTAAGAGGGCAGTTTTGGAACAGAATCTACTAGAATGGCTACACACAACATATAATCTCCTACCTTTATAAGACAGTCCTCCTTTTGTGATGACAGTAGAACATTCTCTGGCTTTAAGTCTCGATGTATAATGCCATTTTCATGAAGGTACTATACAGAAAGGAAGTGTGAGCCTTAAATTAATGGAGCTGTTGTTAAGTGTAGTCAAGTAGGTTGCAACTCATAGCAGCCCTGTAGAGGGTCTCTGAGACTACAAATCTTTTCGGGAGTAGAAAGTCTCATCTTTCTCCTACAGAGTGGGTTTGAACCACCAGCCTTGTGGCTCAAAGTCCAGTACTTATCCTACAGAGCACAGCCCTCCCAGTAGATAGTAGGTATGTGGCTAGAGACAAGAGTCAGCACCACATGTCTCTGGATTGGACTGTAACACAGGCTATTCATACTCATGTCCCCAAAATTCCCAGAACGCTCGCTGTTGGATAAAGGGGTTGCTGTTGTTGTTAGGTGCCAGTGGACTAATGGAGAATGTGAACATCAGTCACCATGACTCTGAGACCAGAAGAACTAGATGATGCCCTGCTACTACTACCTACTACTCTGAAAAGAATAGTATTAGAAGATCCTGGACAGGGTGAAGGAAAATGTGAAACAAAAGTCAAAATTATGATATATAAAAAAATATTGGGCTTATGGATCAGCAAGAGGCTGTAGGAACCCAAGACCATGGCCCTCAACCAGGTCTGGAATGGAACTCACCCTCAAGGCCAAGTTTTCACCCAAGCAGTAGAGAGGTGGGGCAGCAACATGGTAATAAGGTGTACTCTCCATCAAATGGTCAAATATTCAAGATCAAAGGGGCAACATTTAGCTAAGGACAAAGTTGAGAAGGGATGGGAAGAAGGGTGGAAAGAAAACAGGAAGCACAGGGAGGAAGGAAGTGGGATAACTGTTGCTGCATGGAGGGGATTATAATCATTGAGATGAAACTAAGTGTATGATTTGTAATGTAAAACTGATGATCTTCTATGTAAATTTTCATTCAATTCTCAATAAAAATTTTCAAAAAATAAAGAGTGTGTGTGTGTGTATTTCTTCACCATAATAAAAATACAAAATTTTTAAGTTTTTGGTTTAAGAAACAATAATGTTCCTTGAAACAGGACTCCACCAGCTATTCCTTCACCCATCTAACCCCGTTACTGAATTAAGACAAGGAGGCAGCTGGCCTGCCTGCCTACCTAGCACAGTTAGCAGAATCCTAGGAAAGGAACGGAATCCTGGTGTAGCGCTATAGGATAAGCACTGGACCGCAAGGTCAGTTTGAACTGCAAGGTCAGTGGTTCAAATCCACCAGCCACTCCTCAGAAACCCTTTATAGGGTCGCTATAGTCGGAATCGACTCGATGGCACTTAACAACAAATGAAAGAAACACCTAATACTGTCCCATCCATCATTGCCACAACATGACAATCTGACCCTTGTGCCTACCCAACTGTCCCTCCCAGCTCCCCTGAAAACTAAAGAGAATTTCTACAAAAACCAGGCAAACTAGAGACAATATCCCTCCAGGAACATGTCCAACCTAAAGAAAGGAAAAGTGAGATGTGTATTATTTGTTTTCATCCCCTTTTAAGCTTCACAGAGAGAGCTCTGAGTCAAACAGGGTGGGTGTATTCCCCATGAAGAAAAAAACTGAACATGGACTTTCTCTTGGAATTTTTATCCACAGTTCTGCAATTTCCACCTAACACAAGGCGTCCGTAATTCCTCTTACACAAAGCAGGTTGTCAACAGAACAAGTGGCTTCTCTACCTGGACAGCCAGGAGCATCTGGTAAAAATAGAGTTTGCAGGTAGTTTCTTTCAGACGTCTGTTCCCCACCACCCTGTCAAACAGCTCTCCTCCTTCCATCCTGAAAAACACAAAGTAGGCAATTCGGTCCAGGAGGGATACTTACTTGGATGGAAGATGATAAAACACAAATGCAAGAAATTGAGGAAAATAAGCCTGGAATGGCCATTTTCACACACTCTTGAGTCCTAGTTTTAAGGTCAATGTCTTAAGATGCCTCACCCACAAGCACATGTCTCCACTGTTGATGTTGTTAGGAGAGATCAAACAACAAGAGGACATAGAAACAGTGTGCAGTGAGTTTTGAAATCACCAGGGAGCTTTAGAAAGTCGAAGCCAACAGACTGGTGGGTGAGGCCACAGAACCTGAGTGTTAACACGCAGCCCAGGTGAATAAGAGGCTGATGCAAAAGAGGACGTGTAAGCTTATAATCAGATAACTGGGGTCTGAAAACCAATCCCAGCATTGCCCAGCTGTGTGGCTTAGGGCAAGCTATTTTGCCTCTCAAAGTTTATTTGAGGAACCCTGGTAACATAGTGCTTACGCAGTTGGCAGCTAACTAAAAGGTCAGCAGCTCAAACCCACCAGCCACCCCAAAAGGTGTGCTTCCATAAAGATATACAGCCTTGGAAACCTGCTGGGGCAGTACTACTCTGCCCAAGACTGTCACTATGTTTAAGAGTCAACTCTACGCAGTGGGTTTGGTTTTGGGGTTCAGAATTTATTTGTGCCTCTTAACAAACAGGGATGATACCATGGTGGTTATAAAGATTAAGGGATCATTGATGCAGATGAAGCACCTGGAACAGCAAGAATATTCAATGCCTTCTTTTCTTGAAATGGAGCTAAAAATAATAACCTACCTGTAAGGCTTGGTAGGAACCCTGATGTGGCTCTGTAGGATAAGCACTGGATTGCTAACCACAAGGTCAGCTGTTCAAACCCACCAGCCACTCCTCGGAAACCCTATACTGGGTTGCTATGAGTTGGGACTGACTTAATGACACTTAACAACAACAACAAGAAGACGTGGTAAAGTAGAGGGTCAGCAACAAAGAGGAAGACCCTCAATGAGATGAACTGACACCATGGATGCAGCAATGGGCTCAAATATAGGAATGAGGGTGAGGATGGCGGGCCAGGCAGTGTTTCGTTCTGTGGCACATAGGGTCACTATGAGTTGGAACCAATTCAAAAGCACCTAACAACAACAACAAAGCTGTTGTGATGGTTACATGATCCACATACAGTGCTTAGAGTAGTTGTAAACAGTAGCGTGGCACCAGTGTCATTGTGTGACCTCTTCATCTAACTTCATAAGGGGCAAGAAGGAAGATCATCAGGCCAACATTAATCCTAGGAAGTGGAGGTCTGACCTCCAGCCTTTACCAATTCTGCCACCAGCTAGCTATCCCTCCCACTACACGCTCTACTTTTCTGCTGGGTTCAAAAATTTGTTGCAATGTCCCTATAAACTCACAATATGCATGAGTCTGTAAGGCCACTGCAACCAATTTGGAGTTCATTCAGAAAGTAACACGTTAATTCAGGATCAGGACCAACTCCGGATACAGTTATTTGGTAAGGACAGCTTCTTAGCCATGCCCAAAGGCAGGCCTCAATGTGGCCCTTGGCCTCTAGGCCCCTGAGACCTCTTAAGTCAGCTGGCCTCTGCCCTGATTGGTTAAGCATTACAAAGCTCATCCATTCCACTGAACTTCCCAGAGGCACCTCACTCAACCAGTAAGTCTCAGTTCAAAGGTGTTCAGCTCTCTAGCTCTGTGGGTCAGCCTAGCTCCAACCAGCAAGAAAGGCACTCAGTTTTCTCACTATGTGGGACAGGAAGCTCCCTGAGCCATCTCACGCCAGTATCCTGGTTCTGCTGATACCACTTCTCTGCCACCCACGGCTTTTCATCTTACACCATTCCAGTGTAACAGCTTCCTCTGTCTCCTGGGTCTAGGAGTTCTCAGCGCAGGGACCCTGTGTCCAAAGGGCACACTCCACTCCTGTTTCTTCTTTTTGGTAATTGTGAGAATCCCACTGTCTGCCCCTGGAATGGTTCGTTTTAAGCCTCACTTTTGTCTTTGGCCTCTCAGCCAGGTGGTCCCTTGGCCTCTGTCCTGCTCCAGGAAGTGTTACAAAGTTCTTTTAGTCAGTCTGTAAATGCCCATAGAACACAGTCTGCAAACCAATCTCCTGCCCATAGGCACTCAGCTTTACTCAGTCCATGGGTCTACAGCTCAAAGCTGCTCCATCTCTCCATGCCACCACTCTACCATTGCCTCCACCGTCCACTGTTTCTCTCATTTCACTCATGTTTTTCCTTCTTGATGGTTCTGGGATTTTCCATCTCTGTTTCTGAGATGGCTCCTTTATGCCTAACTGGAGAGCAAAACTAATCAATCCCAGCTTTAGAGTCCTGTGTACCTCATTTGCATGGTTTCACCCAATCACTTGGTGGGAATTAAGAAGACTTTGTTTGGATAGAAAAAACACATCAAGTAAATTCAAGGCACCAGAGTCACAAAGACTATAGCCAGAAGGACCATATTCAGTAATTCACTGTACCACAGCAGTACTCAGCTCAGAGTAAGTGCTTAATAATTATTAGCTGTCGTTGTTGTTGCTGGTGTTGTTAAGTGCTGAAAGTTAATCCCAACACATAGCAGCCATGTGACAAACAAGAACTGCCCCACAGGGTTTTATTGGCTGTAATCTTTACAGACACAGATGACCAGGTCTTTATTCCATGGGGATTGCAAGGTGAGTTAAAATCTCCGAACTTTAAAGCAGCAACCAAGCACTTAATTATTGTGTCACCAAACCAAAAACGCATTGCCATCATCTTGAGTCTAACTCAACAATACTGTAGGACAGAGGAGAACTGCCCCCATAGGGTTTCCAAAGCTGTAAATCTCTGTGGAAGCAGATGGTCACATCTTTCTCCTGCAGAGAGGCTGGTGAATCCAAAGTGCCAACCATTCAATTAGAAGCCAAGTGCTTAACTGCTATGCTACCAGGACTGCTTATATATTAGCTATTGTTATTTTTATCATTAATAAACTATGTTAATTAGATCAAGCCAAGCAATAATCTCCTATTTGACAGCAACAGATATTCCCATAAGTATGACAAGGCCCAATCTCTCCTAAAGCTAGGATTTACTAAATAATCTTAATGATCAACATGCAAAATCACCATGTGCCAACCAAGAGCAAAATATTCCCTTGCTGCCATGATAGTTCTCCCAGAAACACTGCACATGTATGTGTGAACAGCCATCAAGAAGGACCTTTTCCAGGAATAAGACGTGAAAAGCTTTCAGGTCACACCAAGTAAAACAGGACTTCATGGCCATCAAAGGAAAGTGAGAAGCTGAAAGATGCTCAGGTGCCACCAGGCCACTTGGGACTTTGATCTTAGGCCAAAACGTCTACAGGTGTACTCAGTGATAATACAGACTACCCCTGGTTGAGCACCTGAGTGTGCCCAGTACACTTACCACAACCCCACATGTGATGCTGTCAGTACATCCCCATTTAACAGGAAGAAATCAAGACTCAGAGAAGTAACATAAACTCACCCACAAGTGAACAGCTTGTTGTCAGGTTGCCTCCAAGTCGATTTCAGTGTAATAGCAACCACATGCTAACAGAGTAGAACTGCCTCATAAGGTTTCTTTACAGGAGCAGATCACCAGCTCTTTCTCCTGCAGAGCAGCTAAGTGGGCTGGAATCCCCAACTTTTCAGTGGACAGCTAAGTGCTTAACTGTTTGCACCCCCTGGTTCCTACAATGTAGCCTTCAAACCCAGACCTCAGACTCCAGACGCAGGGTCCAGAAACCCTCTGCCACCTGTTTTTAGAAACACTGCAGGTATTTTAGAATTTCTGTGAATTCCCTACCGTGCTCCCACACACCCACACACTGTGGGCCCACTGCCACCACATATGTACACTGAGGACCCTCAGGATAAAAAGTGAAAGTGTTGGAATCTTTGGTGGCTTTTAAGCATCGAAATGGAAATGGAAATGTTTACTACTTACAATTCCAAAACAATATAATAATCTTCTGCATCAAAAAAGTTTTTAATCTTGATGATGCAAGGCTGAAAAAAGAAGAAAAAAAGAGAAGTGGTGAGAATCTCCCGAGAGAAATCACAATAGTGTGGGACTGGGGACATCCACCTAGAGGGTCAGGGAGCCCAAGACCAGGCTTTGGGACACTGTCAAGTTCATCATTTACACGCCCAAGAGGGAACACGGGGTCTCTTCCTGGGTCCTCCTCCCCACTGCCTGAGAGCCAAGGTACACTAGAGCAGCCTACGGAACCTGTAAGTAAGTTCACAAAAGCAGACCAGACCTCAAACAATGGGTGACTCAGCTCCAGGCAGCTAAGACTGTTGGGGAATGAGACTCCCATGTGACAGATTCTTCCATTTTTGTAAGGGAAGAGGGACATTCTCCTTTTACAAGAACTCAAAGCACACCTGAATGTATGTGAGGGATAAATCACACACTCACACACACACATCTGATCATTTGCAACCACTGATCAACATGAAATGTGCAGTGGAATCTTGTGGGTAAAGGAGAGCAGGATTGTACAGTACGAAATGTATATTTATTACTATAATTTTCTATCTAGAACACACTCCTATTGTTTCATAATACAGAGGCTCAACAATAAAGTTCAGAAGTGGTGGTGGTTGTTCTTAGCTGCTGGTAGTCAGTGCCTGAATCACAATGAAGTCTAATCACAATGGAACAAAACAATGCCTGGTTGGATAACATCCCTATGACTGGACCACTGTGATCCAGACGGTTTTCAGTGTCTGGTCTTTGGAAATAGATCACCAGGTCTTTTTTCTAGTTTGTCTTCATCTGGAAGCTCTGCTGAAATCTGTTCAGTATCCAAGCAACATACAAGCAGCTAACTGGTTGAGTGGAAAGTAAGAACTGTGTCGCTGAACTACCACTACCCTTGCTTCCATACGCTTAGCGGTTGGGGTTAAGTAACAGATTTGGAGATTACATCAGAGACATGCCCCAGGGGAAAGAGGAAGTATAGCTCTGTGGGAATTGAAGGGAAGAATGTTAGGTTTCACATTTAAAAGAAGGTACCTAGGGGGTACAAATGGTTAAGTGCTCAGTTGCTAAACCAAGAGGTTAGAGGTCCAAACCCACTCAGCAGCTCCATAGGTGAAAGACCTAGTAATCTGTTTGAAAAGTTTACAACCAAGCAAACCCTGTGGAGGCAGTTTCACTCTATCACATGGGGTCACTAGGAGTTGGAATCAACTCAATGGCACCTGATGACAACAGTGGCATTTAAAAGGGTAGCAAGTCTCACCAAAGTGATTGAACTTTCTATAAAATAAGTTTCATCATGCCTCCTGCTCTGATTAAGATACTCCACAGGGTGCCTTCCCCCCAGGGATGGGCTGTCCAAGAACAAATTAAGCAGTCCAAGATCAAATGTATCACTGCTCTGTACACAGAGGATCCTGGAAACAGTGCTGAATGAAAAAGGCAAGGCACAAAAGACTTCATCACGGAGGGTGCCATTTTCATAAGGCTTAGTAAAACACTGTATTATAAAGAGATACGTGTATATATGCTTTTGTGGGGTTTTTTGTTGTTGTTTTTAAAAAAAGATAAATACAACACTCAGGATAATGGGGTTCCAACAGGGGAGAGGTGAAACATACAGGTAGGAAAAGCACACAGGTAGCTTCAACAGTATGGCCAAGCTTTCGTTTAAGTTAGATGGCAAGTCCAAAGGTCTTTAGTTTGGACTTGATAATCTTAGTTCACTTGATAATCTATGTTGGTGGTGTATGTTATCAAGTCGATTCTGATCCTAGCCACCCCATGTGACAGAGCCACACTGCCCACAGGGTTTTCTAGGTTGTCTTTTTTTAAAACTTTTTACTGTGAATTGGGTGAAGGTTTACAGAGCTGATCAGTTTTCCATTCAGCAATTCCTATATTGTTTCATGTCACTTAGTACAAACCCTACAGCGTACCATCACTTACGCTACCTCCTTGTGTTTCCTGTTTGCATTCCTCCTTCTTTCCTAATCCTTCCTGCTTCCTGAACTTGGTACCTTGAGTAAGCTGTCATCTTCATGGGAGTGGATCGCCAGGTTTTTCTTCCATGGAGCTCCTAGGTGGATCCGAACTGCCAAACTTTTGGTTAGTAGCCTAGTACTTAACCATTATACGATTTCTTGTTGTTATTATTAAGAGTCATCGAGTTTATATAGGGTTTCCAAAGAGAGGCTGGTGGGTGTGAAGTGACTCAACAACTCTGTAAGAAGAAAGAGTAGAACTGCTCCATAGAGCATATGGAAGCAGAACACCACACCCTTCTCCCACAGAGTTGGGAAGCTCAAACCACTGGCCTTCTGGTTAGCAGCTGAGTATTTTAACCAGTGTACCACCAGGGTTTTTATTACAATGTATACCTAGCATACGTCATGTTATTTGTATATCACATATCATATCATTTGAAAATATTTGAAAGAGGAAGACAAGAAAGAGAAGGCAAGAAAGACAGTATCTGGCTTCTTATTGCACAGAAGCTAAAATCTAACTTCTCAGCAGATTCGCCATGCCCTCCAGGGGCCTATCCTCAACTCCAGTCTCATCCTGTCCTCCTCCAACCAGCCTCCCTCAGCCTGCTCCTCCTGGTCCCATACAGCCCTCTGTCCAGCCAACAAAACATTGTCCATCTCCAACTCCTTGTGTTCTTTTCCAATGCCTCACTATTGCTCATTGGGCTCCAATCACTGTCCCCAAACATCAAAGTATACCTATGAACCCAAATTTAATCCTCAAGGGTTTCACATGCCCTTGTAAATTACACATGAAAAAATAGCTCCAGGAACCATGTCTATGGCTCTATGTTCCTTTCTATTGCAGGAAGTATTTTATTTGTATAAATGTTATAGATTTACTGTCACATCAGAGAAAATTCCCTGGAAATTCTCAATTTCTCTTAGGATGTAACAGCACCCCAGAAAATTAGAGGGTTCCTCTCCTTAAAGAGAAACTCCAGGTCCTTTGGGAAAAGGAAAGGGAAGTTCACAAGGAAATTAGAAGACAGTCAAGCAAGAAAGTCTGTCCTTCAGATTCTCATGGATTTTCAGCAAGGCCTTTCAAACAGTTAAGACACAGCAGGTGGAAAAAGAGCAATGTATGCACGGCACAGCAACCAAATCTCTTGCATGTCAGATTTCGATATGAGTAGGAAACAGGCAAAGGTGCCTCACTCAAAGATGGCAGCCAAACATACTATAACACACATTCAAAGCAGGGCAGTTGATGGCCATCTTTGAGTAGGACTCTGTTTCCTACCCAAATCAAAACCCATCCATCTTTTAAGTCAAGATCCAAGAGACCTGGTTGCTACACAACACTTGTGTATGCTGTCCTTGTTTCCATAGGCCATGACTGAGCCATTTAAAATCAGTATGAAGCCCCTGTTTTCAGGTTTCACCAATGAATTCTGAACAAAGTCTGTAGGACTATTGTGACGATGGCGATCATTTTGTTCTTGATTTCTATTTGCTGTTTGGGCAGCTTGATGAGGTGGCAGAAGGGAGAAGAAATCTTTATGTTGTTTGGAGGGTATTAAGTTCAGAATAAAATAATTCACATCTGGGCAGACTCGAGGTCTTGTTTTAGGTTTAATTACAGTGCATACCCTGCTCATGATTTCATGTGTGCTTTTAAATTAATAAACAATCTTAAAGAATCAATAAGGAGGAAGATGGAATCATTCCCCTATCTTTCCCTCCACTTTTAAAAGTGAAACCTACTTTTCAATGACACTAGGGCACAATTGCACAGCAAAGATAAGGACTATTTACACCCAGTAAAGCCATAAAAAAAAAAAAAAAAAAAAAAAAGAACATTACCAGGAAGTCAATTTTGAATCACATGAGCTCAATGTGTGTTCAGGTATAACTATGCTATGCTTCATAGTGTTTTCAGTGGTTGTGATCTTTGGAAACAGATTGCCAGGTCTTTCTTCCAAGGCACCCATGGGTGAATTGGAACTGCTAACTCTCTAGTTAATAGCTGATCACTTAACTATTTGTGCCATACAGGGACTCCAATAAGACCATGACAACTTTAAATCAATAAAAGGACAGGGAGTTCTTACACTTATTGGATACCCTTGGATTTAAAATGGAAATAAGCATGGTTAGAAAGTATTTAAAGACATGAAACCTTCAGGTAATATTCAACCAAATTTACTAAGATTAACATTCTTTTCAAATACAATTGGTTGGTCAAATTTCAGTTAAAGCTTTTCTCAGCTAAGTAACAGCTAGACACACACACACACACACACATTAAGCAACCCTGATTAACACTGGCTTCATTACAGAGAAATGCTTTGGGCTTATCCCATGTTTTGAAACAAGTGAATTTAAACATGAGTTGTATTTTATAGCAATACTCACATGATTCAGCTTTTTCAGGATTTCTATTTCTGTTTCAACATCAAGAGCTGGATCCTTTGATAAATAACATTAGATTTTGTTAACAATAATAACTGCCAACATTTAAAAAAATATTTACAGTTAAACTTAGAGCTGGTTGAGTTCCAAACCCAGCTCTGCTCATATAAAGATGCTGAAGCCCAGAGAAGACAATGAATTAAATAAACTCACCTGAAAACATTATGCAAAGGACTGGGCAGGCAGTTAAGTATCCAATAAATGGCGCCAACATCACATACCAAGCCCTGTGCCAAGCTTTTCATTTACAAGGATCATCTCATGTAGGTGTCACAATCCCCATGTGAACTGGGCTCTCTAGTTATCCCCATCTTATAAGTGGGGCAACTGAGACAGGAAAAGAGGAATTCATTTGTCTCAGTCCCCACCACCATGAAGAAATCTGTGCCTACTGTTCTGCTAAACTGGTAAACTGTACTTCTCTTATTAGCTTCTGGGACTATTTATATTCATCAAAATAACCAGCAGCCAGAAAAACAAGGACAAGAAGGTATTTCATTAAAATGCATGAAGGAATAGAAGGGACAATAACACTAGTAAGGCATGCGCACCACGGAATGGTCAATCATTCAAGGTCAAAAGGGCAACATTTACCTAAGGACAAAGTTGAGAAGGGATGGGAAAGTGGGTGGAATGCAAACAGGAACCACAGGGATAACTGTTGCTGCATGGAGGGGCCTGCAATCACTGAGATGAAACAAAGTGTATGATTTGTTGGATATAAAACTGATGATCTTGTCTGTAAACCTTCCCTCAATTCACAATAAAAAGTTAAAGATAAATAAATAAAAATCATGAAGAAAATGTCAAGGCAAATTTCTATTGCTAGAGCAGAGATGGGTTCCAATTTCTACTGTAGACTGACATATTTAATCCCATTCTGAGGAGAAAGAAAATATCTATCAGATTCTTCCGAGGAGAAAATGCTTCAGAGTACTGAAGTCATTCTGCACTACAATTCCAAATGGATGAATTGAGTAACTCAACCTTCCAGTAACTACACCCTCCACAAGCAAGGAGGATATAGAATTACATATTTATGCATAAAGGATTTTGGCAAAGCAACCCAGATGTTTAATTTTAAAAGCCTGCCTCTTCCTGTAAGCCATGGAACTCATTACCAAGTCAGGGTGTACTCTGATAATAGAGAGGTCTAAAGTGTCCAATATGATTTGTACAGTGAAATTAAAAAGCAAAATTTTGCTCCAAATCATTAAAAATCTGGCAGGTATTTTCTTCCCCTCTCCTCCACCCTGAAAATAGGAAACAAATCAAAATCACAGGGGAAAAATCTACAACAAAGTGAACACAGAAAGGAAATCCCTCTTGCCCTGTGAGAATGACTTTGTCAGGGGGAGAAACATTGATCTTTAAAGAATGTTGAAGCATAATAGCCAGAAACAGCTGGCCACAAATGAAAACGTGATTAGGGGCCACGTTTTACATTACTCTGTTGAATCGTGTGTGAAAAAACCCCAACACATTTGGCAGTTCACCTACCCAGTAAATGTGGACTACAGAACAAGGTAATAAAATGAATGGCTACTCTATAAAAAGACTATTAAAATAATTTAATTAAAATGAAAAAATCCATAAACACTATGATAGGCCCTGCCACATTACCCAGCGGAGCAAAGAACTGGAAATTGCCTAGATGATCAGCCCGCAAAATGGGTGAGTCAATTATGACAAATGAAGCTGTTGAAAAAGAGACTGGATCATTAAGAAGGATATAGTCAGAAAGGGGTTCTAATGTAATGCATATGTGGAAAAGCAGAATACAAAATGGTATCTACGATACGATTTTAGTCATCTAAAAACATGAATGCGTATGAACAAAGACGAGAAGGAAAGGGAAAACTGAAAACAGCTGTCTGGTTACTGCGGTGGGATTATGGCTGGGTTCCTCCCCGCCCCCTCTACCCTCCCTACTCCCCCCAATTTCCTTTCATTGGTTGTAAAAACAGTCTTGTAATAACTTTGAACTCGGAAGGAAAAAAAAAAATTAACTTCCTGCTATGTACATCGTTAAGTATAAACCAGTATTTGGGGAACCAAAGAATTTATAAATAAGAGTATCTAGATTAGCCACAGATAATAAAAAATTTTTAAATGTTCTCTGATACTCACAAATTCACCTATTGAACATATCTCAGCAGTATGTTCCTCCTGAGGTTGAAAATCACCACTCGAAAATTCTTTGGGGAAATTAAGAAGTGTCAAGAACAGCTGAGTGGAGCAGCCACAAACATAGGGTACTTACTGCCTCTCTCGCAGAGCCAATAGCAAACTTCCTTTTGCTGATGATCTTGATAGCTACTTTCTTACATGTTTTCCTCTCAAAAGCCAGCTTCACCTCTCCACAGGCACCGCTATAGAGGAAAACGGCGACAGAGATGATTAAAAAATTTCTAATCACCAGAACCACCCCTCTGGCATCAGCTTCACCTCTTCCAAGCTTAACACTCCTTTCCATGGTCTATTTACAGAGAACACAGTAAAACCTCATCAAAGTAAAATTTAAGCTCGTAAGTGGACCACCCAACAACATTGAATCAGCTCTAAAGTCCACGTTTTCAGCTGAGTCACACAGATTTACGTCTTACTGTCATCTCAGATTGTCAAAGTCTCAGAAAGACACTAAATACATATGAAAGAGAAATTATTTTCCTAGAGGTCAGAGAGAAATTGAGTAGAACAGAGTCTTCCCTGGCCAAAAATTAAAGTCCAAAACACACTTTTCTTTGTTCCCTATCTTCAAAAGAAACCCATAAGAAGTAGATTCCATGAATTAGACCCCAAATAAAATCGTAATACCTAAGACAACAAACAGACAATGGTTCTCAATAACATGGATGTGATTAGTGACAATGAATTATATGTGCAAAAAATGCTGATACAGATCTAGATATATGTAACTGGTGTGGTGCTGTTAATGCACTGGACTGCAAAATCGGTTTGAGCGGCAAGGTTGGCAACAGTTCAAACTCATCAGCTACTTGCTGAAAACCCTATACAGATTGCTTTGAACCACAAGGTCAGCAGTTCAAACTTACCAGTTGTTGTTTGTTGTTAAGTGCCGTCGAGTCGGTTCCGACCCATAGCGACCCTGTACAGGGTTTCCGAGGGTGTAAATCCTTACGGGAGTAGAAAGCCTCATCTTTCTCCCGCGGAGCAGCTGGTAGTTTCGAACCGCTGACCTTAAGGTTTGCAGCCCGATTCGTAACCACTACGCTACAGCTCCTTGAAAATCCTATAGTGGGTCATTAAGAATCGGAACCCACTCGATGGCACCTAACAACATACTATAGATATTTATCACAACTTTTTTATTTGTCTAAAAAACACAAAATATGCATATAAAAAGAAAGTTGAAATAACCTTATCATTTGATTCACAAATATGCATACTTGAAGCCAAGTATCAAGATAAAAATGTAAACTTTTCATAAACATGCTTTAGTAAACATGTTTAGAAGACCATGAAAGAATTGATGCATTTGAGTTATGGTGTTGGAGAAGAATATTAAAGGTATCATGGACTACTAAAACAAACAGATCTGTGTTGGAAGAAGTACAATCAGAATGCTTCTTAGCAGCAAAGATGGCCAGATTTATCTCTCATATTTTGGATATGTTATCAGGAAGCACCAGTCCCTGAAGAAGGACATCATGTTTGGTAAAGTGGAGGGTCAGCAAAAAAGAGGAAGACCCGCCCCCCACTGTTATGGATTGGCACATTAGCAGCAACAATGGCTCAAGCATAGCAGCAGTTGTGAGCACGGCAGGCACAGGGCCAAGTGGCATTTTGTTCTGTTTTACAAAGGGTCACTGTGAGTCACAACTGACACAACGGCACTTAACAACAACAACCAACACAGGTCAACCCAAAGCGAGCCTTGTTCTCCAAAGCTCCATGCTCATTATCTGCCTATATCAACTGTTGTAATTTTTCTGTTTACTTGTGATAAATATGTACATAATAAAACATTTAGTATTTCAACCTTCTTTACATGAACAATTTAGTGACAGTGATTATGTTTGTCATGTAGTTCAACCATTATCGGTTTCAAAATTCTTCCATTATTGCTAAGTAATGAGGCATCTATCCCAATTTCTCCTTCGTTCTCACTCATCCCTGGTAATGTCTAATAAACTCTGATCACTATATACTTGCCTATTACAGCTAATTCATGTAAGCGAAGTTTTCACATTCATATGAAATATAATATGTGGCCAGCAGCATGCATCAGGACCTTTTCTCTTTAAGACTGTATGTGTGAACCACATTTTCTCTATTCATTCAACTGTTGGTAGACACTGAGGCTATTTCCATCTGTTGGCTATGATGAACAGTGGTACAACAAATATCATCATAATTACTGTTTGTAAATCTGCTCAAAACACTTTCTAATTCTCCTTCTTCTGGAAACAGTCCCTTTGCGGAGGAAGTCCTCCCTGAATCCATGCAGCTTTAGTAGGAGTCTACCCAAGGGGGTGAAAAATCAAAACCAACTCCATTGCCATCAAGTTGATTATGACTCCTGGTGTGGCACTGTAGGATAAACACTGGACGGCAAGGTCAGTTTGAACTGTAAGGTTCAAATTCACCAGCTGCTGCTCAGAAAAACTACATGGTGTCCCTATGAGTCAGAACCAATTCAATGGCACTTAACAACAGTGACCCCTAGCGGGTGGACTACAACTCGGTTTCTTTACAAAAACAGACTGCAACATCTTTCACCCATGGAGTGGATAGTGGTTTTGAACCACAGACCTTTGAGATAGCAGCAAAGTACTTAACCACTGCACCTCGTTTAATGGGGTTGCTGTATGACCAGAATTGGGCCAATTAGGATCACCCATGGAATCAAGTATTGATGTTGTGAGAAAAGCTCTTTCTGCTATGATTTTTTAGACAAAGACAATGGGAATTTGGGGGTCATGTTTGTCATTTTTCCTGTTACATGTTGTTGTCGGTAAGTGCCTTTTGAGTTGGTTGTTCCTGCTATATAGAGTGACTGAAAAGGACACTGTGTAATGTGCTACTGGTATCCTAAATATGTTCCCTTAGGAAGCAGTTCTCAAAATATGATCAGGGAAACCCCAAGAAAATTCGAGGACCCTTTCAGGGATCCATAAAGTCAAAACTCTATTTAGAATATTGTTGTTTGTTGTTGTTGTCAGGTGCCATCGAGTTGGAACCGACTCATAGCGACCCCATGCACAGCAGAACAAAACAATGTCCAATCCTGGCCAACCTCACTACCGCCGCCACACTTGACGCCATCAATGATGCCACCTGGCTGATCCATCTCGTTGGGGGTCTTCCTCTTTTTCTCTGACCCTCCACCTTACCCAGCATGACATCCTTCTCTAGCGACTGTTCTCTCCGGACAATGTGTCCAAAGTAGGAGAGATGAAGCTTAGCCATCTTGGCCTCCAAGGAGCACTCTGGTTGCATTTCTTCCAAAACAGATCTATTGGTTCTTTTGGCAGTCCACGGCACTTTCAGTATTCTCCGCCAACACCACAACTCAAAGGCATCAATTCTTCTACGATCTTCCTTATTCACTGTCCAGCTTTCACATCCATATGAGGTTACTGAAAATACCATGGCTTGGGTCAGGTGCACCTTAGTTCTTAAGCTGATGTCTCTGCTCTTCAGTACTTGGAAAAGTTACTGTGCAGCAGATTTGCCCAATGCAATACATCGTCTGATCTCTTGACCACTGCTTCCGTGAGTGTTGACAGTTGATCCAAGAAGACTGAAGTCCTTGACAACTTTAATCTCTTCTCCATTGATCAGAATGCTATTTATTGGTCCAGTGGTGAGGATTTTTGTTTTCTTAACATTAAGATGTAATCCGTATCGAAGGCTGTGCTCTGTGATCTTCATAAGTGTATGTTTCAAGTCCTCTTCACTTTCAGCAAGGAAGGTTGTATCATCAGCATATCGCAGGTTGTTAATGAGTCTTCCACCAATCCTGACGCCACGTTTTTCTTCATAGAACCCTGCTTCTCGTATTATTTGCTCAGCATTCAAATTTATTGACTACGCGAAGGCTTTCGATTGTGTGGATCATGACAAACTATGGACAACACTGAGAAGTATGAGTATTCCAGAACACTTAATTGTACTTCTGCGAAATCTGTACCTGGATCAAGCGGCAGTTGTTCGAACAGAGTATGGGAACACTGAATGTTTTAAAATTGCGAAAGGTGTGTGATAGGGTTGTGTTCTTTCACCATACTTGTTCAATTAGTATATTGTTGTATGTAGTATTGTTAAATGCCATCAAGTTGGTTCTGACTCATAGCAACCTATGTAGGGTTTCCAAGGAGTGGCTGGTGGGTTTGAACCACTGACCTTGTGGTTCAAATTGACTTTACAGGCCAGTGTTTATCCATACTAAGACATTACTTGCCTTTTCCAACCTCATTCTTTCATGAGTGAACAGTGGCGTATACCAGAGGCTACATGGCACATGATTCCAAACAGGTTAAATGACGAAGCAGATCTAGGAATCCTGCCATCTCCTATTAGGCTAGATAGCCAAGAGATTTTCAAAAATGTCAAACAATGACACTTCTCATTATTCTTTACTTGGGGGATATCATTATTTCTCATAACAAAATGCTACTCATCTTAAAATGTAGTGAGTTTAGTTTTTAAATAAGAAATACTACACCAATTTCTAATACAGGCAGCGCTCAGATTACAAATATCTGACTTACATACAACCCATACTTACTAAACTCCTAAAGCCTGTTATGTTAAAACTTCTAGGGCATACAATGACTTGTATAAAAAAAATAATAAAAAAGAAAATAAAAAACAGGCATTACTTTGTAGGGTAGATCAAAACAGTTATTACTGTTGTTGTTGTTGTTAAGTGCTGTCGAGTCGGTTCCGACCCATAGCGACCCTATACAGGGTTTCCGAGGCTGTAAATCTTTATGGGAGCAGACAGCCTCATCTTTCTCCCACAGAGCAGCTGGTAGTTTCGAACTGGTGACCTTGTGGTTCGCAGCCCAATTCATAATCACTACGCTACCACAGCTCCTTGTTATTACTGTTATTATTATTATATTATTATGTCCTGGTGTGGTACTGTAGGATAAGCACTGGATTACTACCCACAACATTAACAGTTCAACCTTACCAGCTGCTCCATGGAAACCCTGTACTGGGTTGCTATAAGCAGAAACGATTTGACAGAGTGGCTGGTGAACTTGAACCACCTACCTAGCAGTTCAAATCAACCTTGCAGTCCAGAGCATTAACCCGCAGCACCACACCAGGACTCCCAACCAACAACAAAAACATCTTTAACAATTATGTTAAAGATGTTTCCATGCATCTGGAAGTG